GTCATTTCTCTGAGGTGATGACATTCACAATCCTCTCTGCTAGCTATTTTGACATACACAATACATACTGACTATATACTGTTGTATATAGTCACCCTACTGTGCAACAGAACACTGGAACTCTTTCCTCTTATCTAACTGCAACTTGGTACCTGTGGACCAATCTCTCTCCATTCCCTCCCCCTCCCCAGCCTCCAGTAACCATTTCACTCTCTACTTCCACTAGTCAACTGTTAGATTCTACATATGAGCGGGATTATACAGTGTTTGTCCTTCTGTACTTGGCTTATTTCACTTAATATAACACCCTCTAGGTTCATCCATGCTGCAAATGACAGGATTTCAATCTTTTTTTTTTTTTTTCGTCTGAGTAGTATGTTATTGCGTGTATATATGCCACATTTTAAAAAACCACTCATCCCGTGATGAACACTCAGGTTGATTCCATATCTCGGCCACTGTGAATTGCAATAAACATGGGGGCGCAGATATCACCTCAACATACTGATTTCATTTCCTTTGGCTATATACCCAGTAGTGGGATTGTTGGGGCATATGGTAGTTTTATTTTTAATTTTTTGAGGAACCTCCATACTGTCGTCCATATGGCTATTCTAATTTACATTCCCAACAACAGTGTGTAAGAGTTCCCCTTTCTCCACAACCTCACCAGCATGTTTGTTTGTTGGTTGGTTGGTCTTTTTGATAAGCTTTCCTACCATTTTAAGTTTGTCTCTATCTTGATTCAGTGTTTGCTTGGTTGCTATAAACCTTTAGCTATTTTCCAGAGTTCCGGCAGTTTTTACTCCTTTTCTAGGTGTTTCTATAGAGAGACAAACCTTGGAGCTACCTACTCTGTCATTTTCACAGACATCACTCTTCTTTCATTTTTGAAGACTAGTTTTTCTAGATGTAGAATTCTTGATGAATAGTCAGTCTTTTTCTTTTAGCACTTTGAATATGACATCCCACTGCCTCCTAGCTGTCATAATTTCTGGTAAGAAATCAGCTGTTAACCTTATTAAAGATTCCTTTCATGAGATGAGTCACTTGTCTGTTACTGCTCTCAAATTCTCTATCTTTCAACAGTTTGATTGTGATGTGTATAGGTGTGGGTCTCCTACTTGTAGTTCATTGATCTTCCTGGATGTACAGATCAATGTTTTTCATCAAATCTGGGAAGTTTCTGGCCATTGTCTCTTCAAATATTCTCTCTGCCCTTGCTCTCATCTTTTTCTGGGACTCCCATTATATGCATGTTTGTGTGTTTGATGGTGTTTCACAGATCTCTGTTCATTTTTATTCATTCTTTTTTCTTTCTGTCCTCAGACTGGAGAATCTCAACTGACCTATCTAAATGTTCATTGATTCTCCCTTCTACTAGCTCAAATCCACTGTTGGGTTACTCTAGTGAGGTTTTCATTTTAATTATTGTACTTTTCAACTACGTAATTTCTATTTATCCCTTTTTAATCACTTATATCTTTTTATTAATATTCTTTATTTGGTGAGACAGTGTTCTCATATTTTCCTTTCATTCTTAGATGTGGTTTTCTTTAGTTCTTTGAACATATTTATAATACTGTTTTGTTTTATTTTGAGACAGAGTCTCACTCTGTCATCCCGGCTAGAGTGCAGTGGCATGATCACAGCTCACTGCAGCCTTGAACTCCCAAGCTCAAGCGATCTTCCTGGGTCAGCCTCCCAAGTAGCTAGGACTACAGAGAGGAGGCACCATGCTCAGGTAACTTTTGTTGTGGTGGTGGTTGTTGTAGAGACAGGGTGCCTCAAGCAATCCTCCCACCTTGGCCTCCCAAAATGCTAGGAATACAGGTGTGAGCCACCATATCGAGCCTATAATAGATGTCTTAAAGTCTTTGTCTTGTAATTCCAATAAATGGGCTTCCTCAAACACAATATTCATTTATTGCTTTTCTTCTTATATATGAGCCATACACTCTTGCTTCTTGTCTCATGATTTGTTGTTACTGAAAACTGAACATTTTAAATAATATAGTGTTGCAACTCTAGAAATCATATACCTCCCTCTCCACAGGGTTTGTTGTTGCTGTTCTTTTTTCTTTTTTTCACAGTAATATTCATTATGTGCTATATTCTCTCCCTGTTAAATCACAATTAATATTAGCCCTACAAATAACTATACATGTAATGCTCATCACCAGTCCTAATGTTGGTGTTTCTTCTCTAGTCATTTTGGTTGACTGAAACTTACTCTTCAGTAGATTCCTAAGGAAGGACTCATGGGAACAAAATTCCCCAAGTTTTTTAATGTTTTTGACAGTTGGTACCTTTATACTTGAAAGTCAGTTTTGCTGATTTAAAATTCTTGGTTCATATTTTCTTTGCCAAAATATCTTAAATATGTTACTCCATTTTCTTCAGGGACAAAGCATTACCATAGCAAAGTCTGATGACAATTCATTTTCTTCTCCTTATAAGCCACACAGTTTGACACTTAGTTTCCATCACTCCTCTTTCCTTTAAAGTCTAATAACTTTACTAGAATATGTTTTGGTGTTTGTTCTAAGCCCAATATAGTCTCAGATTGAAAGTCCAACATGTACACCTCCAACATGTAGTTTTAAATCTTTTATTTCAGGTAATTTTTTTAGATTGTAGATTTTAGTGTTTGCTCTGCTCCTTAGCTTTGTTTTTGTTTTGTTTCAAATTCAAGGGCTCCTATTATCCTTATACTGGATCTCTTCCCATCTTCAGTGTTTATCATTTTTTACTAAATCCTTTTTCTCTATTTCTTATTGATCTGAAAAATTTTCTCTATTTAATCCTATATTCTCATAAGCTATTATCTGTCTAGTTTAGTCTTCATTTTTGAAACTTTTCTTTTATTTCTAATTCTTTTTTTGAGACAGAGTCTCGCTTTGTTGCCCAGGCTAGAGTGAGTGTCATGACAGCAGCCTAGCTCACAGCAACCTCAAACTCCTGGGCTCAATCGATCCTACTGCCTCAGCCTCCCGAGTAGCTGGGACTACAGGCAAGCACCACCATGCCCAGCTGATTTTTTCTATATATATTAGTTGGCCAATTAATTTCTTTCTATTTATAGTAGAGACGGGGTCTCGCTCTTGCTCAGGCTGGTTTCGAACTCCTGACCTCAAACAATCTGCCCGCCTCGGCCTCCCAGAGTGCTAGGATTATAGGCATGAGCCATCACACCTGGCCTTTTATTTCTAATTCTTTCCTGAGTTTTGTCACTTCATTTCTATTCTTTTCTATCCTGTATCATTTTCTTAAACATTTACCTTGTGTTAAGATCATATGCTTTAAAATCGTATGCTACAGTTTTTATCTACTGTGTGGGCATGTCTTTGTAGTAGGCTTTCATTCTCTACAGGTTGAGTATCCCCTACCTGAAATGCTTGGGACTAGAAGTATTCCAGATTTCGAATCTTTTCAGACTTTGGAATATTGGCACTATCCTTACCAAATGAGCATCCCAACTCTGAAAATCTGAAATTCAATATGCTCCAATGAGTATTTCATTTTAGTATCATGTCAGTGTTCAAAAAGTTTCAAATTTGGTAGCATTTCAGATTTCAGATTAGAGATGCTCAACCTATATAAGGATATTATTCTTATTCTCTTTTTTCTTATAGTAATTTTGTATTATAGGATTTTGTAAAAAGGATTTGACCTCAATCCTTTTCTGTTGCACTTTTTAATGTAAAATTAGTTTTCCTGAATTTTCAGAAGATGTGGTTCTAACTTTACTGAGCTCTTTCTTCTGTTTTTGTGTTGTGTTTTAAAATGTGGTAGCAGCTAGATGTGGTGGCTCATGCCTGTAATCCCAGCACTTTGGGAGGCTGAGGTGAGAAGACTTCTTGAGGCCAGGTGTTCAAGACCAGCCTAGGTAACAGCAAGACCCTATCTCTACAACAAAGTTAAAAATTAGCTGGATGTGGTGGCACACACCTGTAGTCCCAGCTACTCAGGAGGCTGAGGCAGGAGGATCACTTGAGCCTAGGAGTTTGAGGCTGCAGCGAGCTATGATGATGCTACTGTACTCTAGCCTGGGCAACAAAATCAAGACCCTATCCCCCCAAAATAAAAAATAAATGTGCTAGCTTGATGTTTGAGGTTTCCTGATTCTGTTCCCTTTCCCTAATTTCATCTGAACCTTCTCTCTCCCTTAATCTCTATGTCTCTAATCTGCTCAATTTCTATTCAATTTCCAACATTTCTTGTACGTGTGAGATCTTGTCTTTAAGGACAGCTCTGACCGATCAGTTTTGAAAGCTCATGGTGTCTGGACTGTTCTGGCCCCTTCAAAATTACCAGGAACCTCTTGCTATGACCCAGTACTGGATTAGACAACACCCTTCCTGATATCAAATGCTGTTCTCACATCAGCCCATCACATTTTCTAATGAATACTTAATGGCTTCCCTCTGTTTCCTCCCTCACAGAGGCTAGTACTATGCAGTTCTTGTGGCTTATAGTGAAGAAATCTTGTTAACTAGTTTTATTGTCAATGCCGCCCAGGGGTTCTTGGCTTTACTATCTAGTTGCTCTGTCTGTTTTTAAGAGGGGACACTCAGGGAGATTTAAAAACTATGTCACCACAGCTGCTCCTACCACCATTCTCACAGATTTTAGAGCGTATTTTAAAGGTTCTTAGAATTTCTAGAGAAAATTTCTTGAGACAAAATGTCTTAAAAATCTTACATTTCCAGAAATAAAACAAGTAAAATAGAAGAAAAGGGATCCCTTTTGTCTGCTTACCTCCAAAAGTTTGAACAAGCGGTATCTTAGATTGTAACTGGTCCACATGACCATGAAAAAGGCATTCAGTGAGATGGAGCTAATCATAACCAACTGAAAGAGACGACTCATTATGAATTTCTTCACAAATGCCCGAAACTCATCATCTTTCCTCCTGTCAAAAAGTCGAATAAGATGGATGGTTATGTTATAACAGGGCTAGATCCCCACATGGTGCACACCTTTTTGTATGGACAAGGATCTGCTTTCCCTCTTCAGGGAATATAACTTTACATATACTTTTAAGTAGCAATGAAATGTTGAATAATTTGGTTGTTTCATTCTCATAAAAAAAAAAAAAGAAAAAAATGGTGCACAATGACCACTGAAATATGCATGATGATCACCAATAGTCTGTCCCCACTCAGTTACTCAGTTCCCTCTTCCTGGACCTCTGAAAAAGAATAGTTACCACTCCTCAAGCAAAACAAAGTGTCATCTTCATTTACTCATTTGACAAATCTTTATTTAGGGACAACCACATGTCAGGCACAGGGACACAACATGAGCAAAACTAAATAAATATTGCCAGTCTACTAGGAAAAACTGGTAATAATCAAAGAATCACCCATACACATGCTTACAAATCAATGATTAAAAACTGAACACCTTAAGAGAAAATGGGCACATAATCAACTCATGAAATAAATAAAAAAGGCCAATTAACCTCCCCCAAAATATTCAGTAGTGATACTAATCAGGGAGATGCAAAGGAAAGCCATTATTTTTGTTTTTAAAGTCAGCAAAGCGAGAAACATGATAATATTTAATGCAGGCAACAGTGTAGAATGAGGCATGCCCATAAATTGCCAGAGGAATGTAAACTGACCAACTGATCTGAGAAGCCTTAGAACCATTCATATCCTCTGCCCCCACCAATCTATTAATATTCCAAGAGACTATAACCCGGAATATAGACAGTGACTGTGGCTAAAGATGTTTATCCCCATAGTACTTATAGGACTAGTTAAATAAATTATGGCATATCCATCTCATGAAATATAGAGATTAAAATATCTCTATGAATTTTTCATGATCTAGAAAAATGTTTATGACCCACTGGATAGCAAAACACAAAAACAAGATACAAAAGTCTCTGCTCAAAGTTATCTCACCTATGCAAAAAATAGGTTGAAAAATTCAGCAGGAAATATGGTAAGATGTCGACAGTGTCTGCCTACAGATGATGAGCTTATTTATCTGTGCTTCGCAATTGTCCTCAAAGAGTATGTATTATTTCCCCCCCATTTGTTATAAGTAACAAATGAACACATTCTCGTAACAGTAAAAAAAATATAGAATGTATATACTTTCCTAATCTATAAAAACCAGATATGAAATTTTCATTAGCTGATTTGAGATGGTGATTATTACCCAAATAAAGTCCTCAAATTGTCTAACACAGTAGCTAATAGAAAAGGACAAAACTGGCTGGGCACAGTGGCTCACACCTGTAACCCCAGTACTTTGGACTGCTAAAGCAGGAAGATCAGGAGTTTGAAACCAGTCTGCAAGACATAATAAGACCCTGCCCTATCTATAAAAATTAAAAAATTAGCCAGGCATGGTGGTACACAATTATAGTCCCTGCAGCGTGGAAGGATCACTTGAGCCCAGGAGTTTGAGGTTACAGTGAGCTATGATGAGGCCATGCACTCCAGCCTGGGTGACAGACTGAGACCCTGTTGGAAAGGGAAGGGAAGTGAAGGGGAGGAAAAGGAGGGGAGGGGAGGGTAAGGAAAGGAAGGGGAGCAAAGGAAAGGACAAAACTGAGTCAAACCTGGAAGTCTTGGCTACAGCAATCAGACAGGAAAATGGAATCAAAGGTATCCAAATAGGGGCAGAAGAGATCAAACTTTCACTGTTTGCTGATGATTGATTTGTATCTAGAAAACCCCAAGGATTCAACCAAGAAACTCCTGGAACTGATCAATGAATTTAGTAAAGTCTCAGGATACAAAATCAATACACAGAAATCAGAGGCATTCATATACGCCAACAACAATCTCATTGAGAACCAATCAAGACTCAATTCCTTCACAATAGCAACAAAGAAATTAAAGTACTAGGAATATACTTAACCAAGGACGTAAAAGACCTCTACAGGGAGAACTATGAAACACTGAGGAAGGAAATAGCGGAGGATGTAAACAGATGGAAACCATACCATGCTCATGGATCGCAGACTCAATATCATCAAATGTTATACTACCCAAACTGATCTACAGATTCAATGCAATACCTATTAAATCCCATCACATTCTTCACAGATATAGAAAAATAATTTACGTCTTCCTATGGACCAAAGAAGACCCAATATCAGAGCAATTCTAGGCAACAAAACAAAATGGGAGGCATTAATATGCCAGATATCAAACTATACTACAAAGCTGTAGTAATTAAACAATAGGTATTGGCACAAAAATAGGAATATTGACCAGTGGAACAGATGTGAGAATCCTGATATAAAACCATCCTTCAATAGCCATCTAACTTTGAAAAGCAGACAACAAACATACGCTGGGAAAGAATCCCTCTCAATAAATGGTGCTGGGAAAACTGTAGCCACCTGTAGAAGCTAAAACAGGACCACACCTTTCACCTCTCACAAAAACCAACTCCGCTGGATAACAGACCTTAAACTAAGGTATGAAAATTAGAACTCTAGAGAAAAAGTTGGAAACACTCTCTAGACATCGGCCTGGGCAAAGAGTTTATGAGAAGTCCCCAAAGGCAATCACAGCAGCAACAAAATATAAATGGACATGACAAACTACAAAGCTTCTGCACAGCCAGAAATAGTCATGAAAGTAACAAGACAACTACAGAATGGGAGAAAATTTACATCCTATGCATCCATAAGGGACTGATAACTAGAATAAACTAACTCACAAAATTAGGGAAAAAAATCAAATAACCCCATTAAAAGGTGGCAAAGACTTGAACAGAAACTTTTCTAGACGACAGAAGAATGGCCAACAATGAAGAAATGCTTCAACTTCTAATCTCTGGGAAATGCAAACAAAACCAAATGAATAAATCACTATAACCCAGTAAGAAATGGCCTTTATCAACATCTCAAAAATAAACCATGGTTTCGGAGAGAGAGGAAATCCTGAAACACTGGCTATGGGACTGCAGACTAGTCACCTCTGTGGAAGCATGGAGATACCTAAAGCGATACAAGTGGAAATCTACCATTTGATCCAATCCCATTGCGGGCATCAACAAAGATCCAATGACACTAACAAATACATCCCATGAATGTTAATAGCTGCAACATTCTATTGCCAAGGCTGAAACAGCCAAGTGCCCATCAATCCAAGAATGGATTAATAAAATGTGTAAGTATTAACCACAAGGAGTACATCAGCTCTAAGAAACAATGTGAAGCACATCTATATTTTCCTGGTTAGGCTGGACACCATACTATTGTGAAGTACCCAAGAATGGAAAAACAACACAGGATATATTCTCCAGCAACTGGTATATGATGTAGACACTAATGGACCACAGGTACTACAGTAATAGGGTATTGGGCAGGTGGTAGGGGGCGGGTATTTATACATACATAATGAGTGAGATGCTGCACCATCTGGGGGGATGGTCAGGATGGAGATCAATTCTTGGGGGAGGGCAAATGGCATTTATTTGAACCTTAAATATCTGTACCATATATCTCGAAATAAAAAAAATTAATTAAAAAAAAAAAAAACGAGTCAACCATCTACAGTTGAAGTAACAGTATGCCAACCTCACCAAGAGAAGAAACCAGATTTATCAAGGACATGCACCCCAATCTGGGAAGCAGTTTAGAGTATCTGAGGGAAGAGGCTAAGAGAACACTGATACCCTGTCCCCACACTTCCAACTGTACATTTCTTAACAAGCAATGGAGATAGACAATATTTACTTAAAGTTTCTGCATCTCACACAGCAATCCGCCGGCTTAGCATCAAGCAGTGAACTAAGAACAATTTTCAAGTGGTTCTGGCATGATGAGCCTTGAGACATTTTCCAAATTTTCAATTTTTATTCCTCGCTTTTATCATTCAACAGAAAACCTCTACATAGGGATTTCCTCGGCATCTGAATTCCCAGAGGCAGCAGAGAAGCATCCGCGAAGGGAATCCTTGCTTTATGAGGTCACTCTCGGGCATTCCAGTACATTACTAGCCTACCAGCCCCTCAAGGAGAGCTCCCCAGCGTGTCCACCAGCGGACCCTCTCTTGCCAAGGAGACTGTGAGGGCCTCAGTTCAGCAAAAAGGTTATGAGCACCCAGCAATCATGAGACTCTGGGCTAAAGCTGGGAGTCATTAGAGGTAGGCCAAAGACACCCTCCCTTCTTCAAGAAGTGCCTCATCTGATAAACAAAGGCCCTTAATGATGTGTTAGAAAAAGTTAAGTCATACAAGGGGGAAAAGCAAAGTTCTCCCGGCATCCTAAGAGTGAGAGAACACATCCAGAGCAGAGCACTGGAAACACTTTGAAGGACAAAGGAAAGATTTTAATGGGTTTGAATGGGTTTGGGGCTAGAACAAAACAGGAAGAGCACAGAAGGTAACATGTCCGGCAGTGGCTAACAGCAGGCATGGAGTGTGCGCACATAAACCACCTAAATACAATGTTTGGGGTGAGCCTGTGGGATAGACATGTTTTAAGTACAAGAGCAACAGAGATTTTTGCTCTGTTTAACTCTTGGAATTACTGTATTCTCACTCACCTTCTCCTAATTGCTTTGGCTTTCAAGGCAAATCAAGACAGAGGGATCTGGGTAGTCCTGTGTTACATGTTTAGTGCCTAAATCAGAAAATTTCCTGAAAACCTAAGTTCTTGAGTTGTAAGAAAAGAATGTAACCACCCCATCACCTCTGCTGTCCCTGGTATTCTAAAACAAGTGGATTCATGACCATTCCCTGTAGGAAAATACTCTTGTGGGCAACCAATATACAGAGCTGGGAAATATTTACTCATTTTCTCCATTTAAAATCATCAACAGCAAAACTTTAAGAATCACTATGATTAATGGCCCAGAGATTCAAACTCTGCCCCCATCTTCTCCCCCTTGGTGCTCTCCCCCATGGGTCAGCTCCTCCTGTCACTCTGACTGCCCCCTTTGGTCATAAGTCCCCTAATGCTTCTGGGGCTCCTGCCCAATGTCCATCCACAGTGGCCCCCGGGGGTAGCTGCTCCCAGAGAGCCTGAATCAGTTCTGTTTCCACCTGTCCCAATATGTCACTGTGCCTCATGCCCTGGGGCACAGGAGCCCCCAGCAATCGTGTGCTACACGAATACACAGATTAATGGCATTAGGGATCCCTGTGCTCTCTCAGACCGCTGGGCAGAGTGGCACTCATCTCCAGGAACCACCACTGGCATGCTTCTGTGCCTTCTCTCTTTATTCATTTATTTTTTTAAGCTCTTCATTGCCAGCAACGTGTGCTCCCTCTTTAAGCACCAAAGCATACTTTCAGGGAAAAACAGAGGAGATTAAAAACATAGAGAATTCTTCTACAATGCTTGGAGGGGCGAGGAAAGCCAGCCAGCTGAAAACAGCAGAGAAGAGCCCAGTTGTTCTCAGCATTCAACGTCGGCACAGCCAACCACAGCTGCTTCTAAAGTCACGGAGGAAAACACTCAGCCTGGAAATGAAACTCCAGCTGAGTGAGTAGAAAGCAACAGGAAGTCAGGGGTGACAAGCTTATCCAGGGCCCACTGAAATCATTTATAACGTCCAGTTGACAGGTGGGCAGGACAGCCATCCCGGGATGGGAAGCCAGCGTCTCCTCTGTGAGCAGCGGCTGGCGCTCTGCCTAACCTGGGCAGCACCGCCCGGCCAGACAGCAGGGGAGTCAGCCGCCAGCAGGCGTGGCGGCCTGGTGACTCTCACACCTTCTGGACAGGGTCATCCTTCACTAGTCCCCGAGTAACTAACACCGAAACACAAAGCTCACTTGTTACAGCCAAACCCTGTTACAGCTCTTGATGTTTCACAGAAACTTTTATGAAACTGAAAGTGACAAAGCTCAACGAGTATACTTTTTTTTTTTTTTTTGAGGACAGAGTCTCACTTTTGTTGCCCAGGCTAGAGTGAGTGCCGTGGCGTCAGGCCTGGCTCACAGCCAACCTCAATCTCCTGGGCTCAGCGATCCTCCTGCCTCGCTCCGAGTAGCTGGGACTACAGGCATGCGCCACCATGCCCGGCTAATTTTTTGTATATATATTTTAGTTGGTCAATTAATTTCTTTCTATTTTTGGTAGAGACGGGGTCTCGCTCAGGCTGGTTTCAAACTCCTGACCTTGAGCGATCCGCCCGCCTCGGCCTCCCAAAGTGCTAGGATTACAGTCGTGAGCCACCGCGCCCGGCCACAATGAGTATACTTTTGAATGCCAGATTAGAAAGTATACAGACTGCTTCATCCTAACACTAGCAGTGGTCCAATAGTTCAGTACGTTGGTGGAGGTCACGCCTGTACTGCGTCCAAATACAACATACATGCTGCTGCTTTCTGCCTATAGCAAAGACATAGAGAACCATGCTTATTCTATGGATCCGAAGATTTCCTAAATCTCATCAATGTCAGAAAATAGCCATTGTTTTCAGAATTTCCATTAACATTGTTTGAGAAAAGGACACTGTCAAACATATTGGCCCTGGAGTTCTATCTGTGGAGGTCATGCAAGGGGTCATAGGTCATGTCTATTTAACTTTTTCTACTCCAGTGATTGTTTCAAACGAAAATGGAGGGAAACCGAAGCTCACCACATTAGAGCAACACGGGCATCATGCAAAGATGTGGAACAGACGGGAACTTGGCAGCCTCTGACTTTGACAATGTCTCTTTCAAGTTGAAATGTGAGTTACTTAAAGCAAGTCTGGGGATTCATTCTGTCAGAATTTACCACCATGAGTATTTCCATAGACTTCTTTTTATTTTTGAGACAGCCTTGCTTTGTTGCCCAGGCTAGAGTGAGTGGCATCAGCCTAGCTCACAGCAACCTCAAACTCCTGGGCTCAAGCGATCCTCCTGCCTCAGCCTCCTGAGTAGCTGGGACTACAGGCATGCGCCACTATGCCCGGCTGATTTTCTATATATATATTAGTTGGCTAATGAATTTCTTTCTATTTTAGTAGAGACGGGGGTCTTACTCTTGCTCAGGACGGTTTCGAACTTCTGACCTTCAGCAATCCGCCCGCCTCAGCCTCCCAGAGTGCTAGGATTACAGGCGTGAGCCACTGCGCCCGGCCTTCCATACACTTCTGACATGGGATCTTTGATTCTCTAAACTAAAGCTTACAAGTTCCAGCAGGTGCAACAGCCCTTAACATGAACCTTACATGAAACCCTCGTGTTGATGACAATTAACTGCATTCTCAGGTCTTTACCACTGGCATTATGAGCTATATCCTGCCTTCTCCATGTGCTCTGTGTGGTGTGAGTTCACACAGCCGTCAGGTTTAGCCTCTCAGACTCACGTTCTAAAGACGGGAAAGGGGTCCATTCAGGGTGTGGGGAAACGAGCTACATAACACCACAATGGAGCAAACAAACTAATCCAGAAGGTAGAATGTTTTTTCAGTACAACTGACCTGGTTTTGACAATAAATCAATTACACAGGGAAAGAGGAGAAAGGAGGGGAGCTTGCTCCAGGTTCAGAGAGAAGAAAGAGACACAACAACCAGACGTAACTCGTGGACTTCATATGGGTCCTGATTAGAACCAAATTACTGTCCAAAGACATTCCTGACCTTCAGGACAATTTCATTTTGCCTGAGTAGTAGGTGGCACCAAGGAATCATGGTCTATTTTGTCAGGTATGATAACAACATTGTAGTTTATACAAGAAAATGACCATATTTTCTAGAGATACTTACAGAAAGTTATAAGGGCGAAATGATATACTATCCAGGATTTGCTTTCAAATACTTCAGCAAAGAAAAAGGAAACGGCATTACATGAAGCTACTGGGGCAAAATATTTGCAATCGTTGTATCTGAGTGATCAGTATGTAAGGGTCCAATGTACTACTCACTCTACTTTTGAATATGTTTAAAATGTTTCATGTTTAAAAAAACTCATGTAAAAAAATTGAAGCATGGAACTAAAAACCTTTGGTGATAAAACGTATAAAAGTTTCCATCTATAATAAAAGACACAGTTTATAAAAACACAGAGCTTTTCCTTTTCCTTTGGAAAAATTCTAAAAAACAGAGGTTCTAGTGCTAAGCTCTGGCTCCCCGACAGCCACAGAGCCTGAGCGGCTCTCCCTTCTCTTCCCTCCCTGCTCCCTCCACGCCCACAAGGTAAATGACCACATCTGCCTCTCCCTGGCCCACAGCACCAGCCAGGAACTGGCTTCAGAGAGCTCAGCCTCTCTGGCATGTCCCCATAGGATTTCTCAGGTTTGGGATGAGGGCGAGTTGGGGAGGGGAATGTTGGTTCATTGTAATATAGAGTGATTTTTCTGGCCTCTAAATTGAGGTGGTTACAAAGATGATCCCTGTTAAATCTCACTGCCATGATGTTTCCAGGGACTAATACATGCTCCTTGGATAAATATATATGCTCTTTCAATCTGTGTCATAGTCTCATTAGTAAGTACATTCCTGAGTTCCTTCAAAACACATTGTTATTGCCATCTTTAAATAATAGGGTACCTTTTATGCCTATCAGTGTCATATGGAGCAAGTAGAGCTCATTATTGGATAATACCCAAGTAGCTTCTAGCCTCGGTGACTGCAGACCTTCAGTACAGGGGTCACAACATGCAAATGATGAAAAAACGTGACCCTTAGGTCCTCCTCAACTCAGCAAGTCAAATAATGACCTAGCAAGTTGGTGACTGTGACGGTGAATCCTTGTATTGCCACACCTCCTGGACACCATGGGCAAGACGTCCTCTTCCTTTGACTCCCTGTCCAAAAAGTAAAGACAAAACAGACCAAGATAGCTCATCTAATTTTTGTGACTTTAACAATCTGATGACTTATGTAGTAAGAGCAGCTATTATCCAAATCAACTTTAGTGTCATAAGAATTGTTATACGAGGTTAAAACCCATTATCTGCAGAATTCCTAATTCTTTTTCCACCTTACAACTATTCTCTAATACCTTACAACAATGCATTTGTAAAGTCACCATAATTGTTTAAATTTCTGAATTACAAAATGTGTGAATACTCCCCCATCCCAACTTGTAGTTTTTGAGAATGACATTTCTCTTTCTGAAGATTACCTGGGTTGGCTTATCTTACATATGCAATTAGATACACTGAAAAGTATCTCAGGCTCAAATTTAAATCATTTTGTATTTAAATACTGATTTTATAAAATGTAGCATATAAAGGTGAACTCAATTTACAACTTAATTTGTTTAAGCAAATTGCCTTCACAATACATTGCAGCTAAGATGTGTACAAGATTTTACATGCATTTGGGGAGAAATCACACAGAAGCAGCTGCTTTTTCAATAAACTTGGCCAACTTCACATCTTTTTTGGTCAATCCACCAAAGTCATGCGAGGTAAGAGTTATCTGGACCTAAGAAAAGAGAAAACAGGCTTTAAAACCCTGAGCTGCAATTCATAATATTCTCCTTTGGTGGTTCAGAAATCAGTCTATTATTCAACATTCACATTTGAGAATTTCGGGGGATTAAATGATTTAGAAAATACTACATTATGAATAAACAAAGCATTTCCAAAACCCAGCAAACTCCAGGGGCACAGTCTACATCAGGGCAGGTTCGGCAGCTACTCAGGGATAAAAAGGTTCTCTGATACGAAAGAGGCAATTCAGCTGCCAGAATCTCAAATCTTGTTTCTTGAAAAAAAAAAAAAGAGAGACTGAGGTTCTATTTGAACTCCCATTACTTTAATTACACCGACTATTTTCAGGCCACTGAGAAAAACCAAGCCATCAAATGTAATATCTTAACAGCAGTGTTAAAAAAGCACATTTCCAAATTGGGGAAGCAGGGGAGGGGTGAAGAATGGATTGTTGCTTCTTGACAAATTGATTTAAAAGCAAAAGCAAAATTATGGGCAAAGAGAGGCAACTAGGAAAGGAAAGTTTATCCTGGTACCAGTGTGCTGTGAATTACTGCAATAAATCACAAGAATATCATGAAATTCTCTCTTTTTTCAAAGAGGACTTCCAATGAGAAAATAAAACCTCACAGAAATCTGGATCATAAGATATTCCAAATGGCATGACCATAAAGACAAGGACACTTTTGGAGGAACACTTCTCACTATGCACCCTTAAAACTTTTTAGTCTGTCCTTTGTCATAAATAAGGTCAGTTCCCACTGAGCATACAGAATTTAATAAACAGTTATTATTTAAAGCACGGTTCTTGAGCAAATTTAGTTCAATGAGATAAATAAGGCCACACTGTCTGATTTGCTACCATTTCTTTCAATAATTAACTTAAATTTAAAAATGTATCTGCATGGCTGATATTCAAGTTTAATTCAGGAGCCTAATTTGGCCCAATATTCTCATATTAATTTCAGTAAAATACAAGCATGAAAATAAAAAGCTTATTCACTGTTCTTATGAGCAGACCTGAAAATTTGTTGCTAATTTGCAATAATACACAGAGGTTCTCAAAGAAAGTATAAGGGAATACCTTCTTAAGCACGATGACATTTATCTGCACAAGATGACAAGGAAGAAAGAAGTTTCTTAAACTCCATAATTAAGGTGATCCCAAAATAAGGCAATTTCATTACCTTGTTGTACACATTGAACCATTCTGGGTGATGATTCATCTTCTCTGCTTGTAGGGCAACTCGGGATATAAAGCCAAATGCCTGTATGAGATGAAGTCAAGAGTAATTACTGATATTGTCCTCCACCCTGTGCCTGAGAGAGATACCAGAGCAATCCAACCAGATAAAGATGTGCAAGGATCCTCAGGGAAGCCTGGAGAGATCAAATATGAAAGGGTTGCTCTCTGCAGGCTAGGGTAGCAGCGAGGCAGGACTGTGACCTGCTGCTGGATGGCAAAAAACAATCAGGCTCAAATAAAC